CACATATTAAAGAAATTTGTAAATTTCCTTTAGAAAAAGGTCGTTCTGCTCTCTGATTGGTCCACGGGAATCATTAGTGCCGTGTGCAAATTCATTAGTGCCGTGTGCAAACTTTATTAATTCTGATTGGTCACAGCTGTCTATAAAAAAGAGGCGTTTTTTTGTGGTAAAACATTCCAAATCCGGCAATGTAAGAATAAAGAATCAAGAAAACAAATAAGAAGAAACTCTGAAGAAGTGTTATTTATTGCTCATCTAACTGCTACTGCATGCTCTCCAGTTAACATCCCGCCAGCATAACCCGCTCCACTACTAACATTCTCACACACGAGCATCAACACCTATTAATAGTCTGGGTTTTGGATTCGGCATTTTTTTGTTTGGCTTTACGTAGTATGTCTCTTTCTTTCATAGTATGTCAGTTTACGAGTACTTACCATTCATACGATTTTCAATGTAGGTCTTTAAGACGCAGTGCGGTGTCGTCGTTAGATATACGGGTATCTTCAGTAGGTGCGGAACTGGAACGGGTTACCCATTGTGCAGCTCCGTTGGATGCATGCACTCCACGCACACTGCGCCATCTGCAGCAGTATATTAAAGCAATATGTTACAGAATTAACATTGTTGTTTAAAAAAAAGATTGTAGATAACCATGCTAAATGTATACTCTATAAAAGATTTTATTTAATGTAAGTTGATGAAGAAAAATGACAATAAGAAGATGTTGATAACAATATTACATGTCTGTAATGTAGACTAAGTATGTCATACAAATTTATTAATAGTTACTAATGTATCGTATTTAAAAGTAAGTATATTTAAAATAAATAAACAATGAATCTGCTCAAAATTTTTTTTCTTCCTTATAATAGATCAGTGCTGAAAATGGATCTGTTATGGTAGGGAGGAGTAACCACGATCACGAGGCTCGGCAGGCGGATTCTCGCACTGCTGACGTAGCTGCCAGTCAGTGGTCTTTGTACATGTTTTACATCGAGTAAATTACGTGAGAAACAATTAAGACTCTGACTGCATGTAAACACTAAACAGTGCGAGTATATATATACAGGTAATGTCTACTAAGTATCTTGAGATAATTGTTATTATGTTTCTATAACCAACTAAACTTAATGATTGTACATAGCCGAGGGAGAAAATCTGGAGGAAAATAATATATAGGAACTCCGATTATCCACCCCATCTAGGGTGGATAGATGAACACGCGTTTCCAAGTATCCACCTTAGAGTTGATACTACAGGATGGATAAATGGAATAACCCGCTGGATTGATTTTGATATTTTTTGTGTGTCTTAGTAAGTGGGAACCCGGATGGTTAAGATTTACAAGTGGACCCGGTAGGCTACGCTGTTGTTGAGATCCAGAAATCATCCGTGCAAATCCGGAGCGGATTAAGAGAATATCAAAAGATATATCTTTTGTAAAATTTACTTTTTAATTTGATATTCTAAGTAAACAAGGAGGTAGATTTTTTGACTAGGATTCCATCTGGGTAGGTTCAATTCTGTTACCTATTTCTGCTGCCAAAGAGTAGTACTCACTCTTCTGTGTTCCGGTATAAATATATGCTGCGAGGCATTCCCTCTGAGTCCCCAGAGGTGACAACGCATCTGTAATCTTCTTTGTTTGAAGTTCGTTACAGGTGAACATGGACTACAGTAGTCACTTACCATCAGGTGAACTGTTAGTTCTGTGTCATTTCAGTTTTATATTAAAACCATATTCAAAGTAAAAAAGTATTGATAATGTAGAGATACTATATGATCTAAATTCTAAACAATTATATAAGTACTTACTTTTTAGCCACCAAGTTGCGTACTTTCCTCTTCCAAACGAAAATAAGAAAGATGAAAAGGCCGAGCACAATGTTAGAAACGTCGATCAAGATCCAGTACCAGTTGGAGCCGCCAACAGAAAAACTGATTATCTCCACCGTCCAGTTCACACCCATTACTACGAAAAGCTTCAGGTAGAGTGCGTATCTGTGGTAATTATACAAAAAAGGTTATTTTTCTTTTAAAAACTTACCTTACATTAAAAAAATCCATCGGATTTTTTATTTATTTAATGCGGTACACATAAAAATAGAATAACATCAAAGCTTGAACTACATGAACATAATTAAAAAAGCTGCCAAGAAGATAGTTTTTAAAAATATAATTCGTGAGCATGTCAAAAAATCGTTGCAAGTTTGAACTAATGCAGCTTTAAATTTTCTATTTTTATTTATGTGTGTAACTGTATGTAAACATAATAAGTATGTGTGTACACTTATTTATCGATATAAATGTGTATATAAGACTATTATTTCATCCTTATTATTGTTACGAGTTTAGGGTTCGTGACAATAAAAACTGCCGATTGAATTACCAAAATTGACACTTTAAATACTGAACACCAATTAAAACTTAAATCACACTAATAATTAATTACACTTAACACTTTAGTTCACTTTATTTCACTCCGAAAGCTGCGCTCGTATCGCCAATTCAATACTGCCCCTATCACGGTTTTCAACGGCTTTATATAAGCCTTTTCCCCGAAACATCCAGAATATTCCAGCAAATACCGGCCCCAACCGACCAGGTGCAGAAAGTTCGAGTCTGGGGCTTACTAGAAAGCTTAGTTCCTCTGTTCGATAATAGATGGCGCTAGTGCCATCAACTGTGGTGCGCAACATTATTATTCCATCCTTTTATTTTCTGCTTTGCCCTAACTTGCAATCAGCAAAATTGCTGCAACGCCTCATATATATATCTGTTTAGTCTAATGGTTGACTTGAAGAGAATACTCTATGTCTACGTCATTAAATCCGCCATATACCACTTTATACGTTAAAGTATTAATAAATAAATAAAAACAGTAAGGGCAAAAATTACGAGCTGGATGATATTCCAAAACATGAGCACACAACATTATTAGAGATGTTAGGTAACAGTAACGAGTGCTGCACATATAGATACATAATATAACGAAATATGATGTAGTACATTTGGAAAATTAGATTTTTATAAAAACTTTATTTTTAATTGTGTGTGGCTTATTTACATAAAATATCTGTAACAAATTTATTTGTGGTGTATTATTGGAAAATAAATTGCTATTCATTATTAATCAATCATTGTACAGACAAAACCATCTTCTAAGGGATTATTATTATAATACAGATGTAATAAATAATGAGTCCAATAGGACTCATTATTTCTGTAAACTTGCATAGCAAAAGTGTTTAGGAAAGTATATATCTATCAATGACAAGATTAGAACAGGAAAATGACGTGTTGAATCAGCCAGTAATTACCTCTGCTTATCCTTTGTAAGTTTGTCACTTCTAGCTGATTCGGCTCCCTTCAAAATGGCGGTTTCCTGTTTAATTGAACGAATGCGATGCGCCGTAACCGAAAACAATACAACATTGCATAACACGAGCACGAGTACAGGTGTAAAAAAAGTACACCAGTTCGCTTAACCAGTCTGAAAAAGTAAATACAAAACACTTAAAAACGTTTTCAAAATGTAGACCTTTAATAGACCAATAAATTAAAAAAAAATCTTTATCATCATCATTAAAGCCCATCACAAGTCCATTGCTGACCACCACAAAAACATTACTGAATATCAGACGGAAACATCATCGGAATGGTGCGGGTGATGGGACCAGCTCGCGTTTCGTTACACTTACCAAATAGGCCCAAATCCCCCCCTCCCCACCATCAACATGGTAGCGGAATTAAATGATGATAGACTACCCCAGGTGGGTACCAGCACCCCTGGAGAATCCCTCGCTGAGCATCCACAACCATGTTTCTCCACTTCTGAGCGAGGGTGCTCAGGCTGCTCCACGTATTCTGGGGGGGGGGGGGGGCTAATTCCGCTCAAGACTACAACTGCTCGGGGCAGACGGAGCAACACAACCAAGGCGACCCCTGCCACGCTATCCGTGAATTTCTGCAATATCAGGGGACTTCACTCTAACCTAAACGCCGTCCACTACCATCTCGCGACGGCGAGGCCGGCTCTGCTCTTTCTGACCGAGACGCAGGTGTCCTCTCCGACTGATGTATCTCTCCTACCCGGGGTACAAACTGGAACACTCCTTTGTGCCTCGGGCTGGAGTTTGCGTTTACGTCAGAGAGGACATCTGTTCTCGACGCCTCGGCAGGCTTGAAGGTTCGGACCTGTCCATCCTTTGGCTACGCGTAGACAGCGACGACCATCCGCGCATCTACCGGTGCCTCTATAGGTCCCATAGCGGTAATGCCGTAACAGACCGACTCTTAGACCACTGGTTACTTCACCTACGCGGATCCCAGATGTGGAGGATCATGCACCATCCCTGTTGGACCTTCTGCTGACCTCTCACCCGGATGGATATCAGATTTCCGTCGACGCCCCTTTAGGCTCCTCGGACCATTGTCTTGTCCGGAGTGTGGTGCCACTCACGCTAAAATCGCAGTTGCATTCTGCAGGCTGCCGCCGTGTTTGGCACTTTAGGTCAGCCGATTGGGATGGGATACGGTCTTTCTTTGCATCCTACCCTTGGGGGCGGGTTTGCTTCTCGCCGGACGATCCCAACGTTGTTGCGGATTCTGTCTCTGACGTGGTACTTCAGGGTGTGGAACTTTTTATTCCTTACTCTGTGGTGCCTATTGGAGGCTAATCTCAGCCATGGTTTGGTCGCTCTTGTATAATAGCATCATGCTATAAGCAGGAGTGCTACCAAGCCTGAGCTGACGCATCAACGTTGCGGGATGTAAACACCAGCGCTCTAAAAATAAGTATAATTCCGCCTCTAGGTCCTTCAAACGAGTCATTGCCAAGGCAAAGTCAGAGCACATAGTCAGAATTGGCGAGAAACTAGTTTGCCTTCCTTCTGGAACCCGTGCATTCTGGTCTCTCGACAAGGCTGTCCAGGGGGAATTTCTGTCAGCCATCTCTTCCATCTCTGCACAGGGAGGCCTATACCGCAAAGGAGAAAGCCGATCTGCTAGGCTCTTTCTTTGCGTCCAACTCGACTCTCGATGACGGGGGTAGTACGCCGTTGACCATCCCGCGGTGTGAGATCTCCATGCCGGAAGTGCAGTTCACACAGCGCTCGGTTCGCAAAGCACTCCTCTCCCTGGACATCCACAAGTCGAGTGGGCCTGACGGAATCCCCCCAATTGTGCTGAGGACATGTGCTCCAGAGTTGGCACCGATTTTAACGCGTCTTTTCCGATACTCCTACTCCCTAGGCGTAGTCCCACAATCATGGAAGACGGCTTGGAACGGCATGGAAGCCGTCTTCCATGATTGTGGGACTACGTCCCACAATCATGGAAGACGGCTTTTGTCCACCCGATCCCTAAAAAAGGCGACCGCTCAGACCCGTCCCACTACCGGCCTATCGCCATCACCTCCTTGTTTTCCAAAACAATGGAGTCCATTGTAAACTGCCAGCTCATGAGGTACCTTGAGAATCACCAGCTGATTAGTGATCGCCAATACGGCTTTCGCCGTGGTCGATCATCTGGTGATCTTCTGGTCTACCTAAATCATTGATGGGTGGAGGTAGTAGAGTCCAAGGGGGAGGCATTGGCCGTTAGTTTGGACATTCCGAAGGCCTTCGATCGGGTTTGGCACAAAACGCTTCTTTCGAAGCTCCCTTCCTATGGGCTTCCCGAGAAATTGTGCGATTGGATCACCAGCGTTCTTGCAGATCGGAGCATCAAGGTCGTTGTAGACGGTGCAAGCTCCGATTGCAAGCCTATTAATGCTGGTGTTCCACAAGGCTGCGTGCTATCGCCAACGCTGTTTCTTCTGCATATCAATGATATGTTGCAAACCCGTAACATTCATTGCTATGCAGATGACAGCACTGGTGATGCTCTTTATGCCGGCCGAGCCAATATTTCTCGGGAAAACGTTTCCGAGTACCGGGACAAACTTGTGTCTGAAGTCGAGTCTCTGCTGAACAGAGTCTCGGATTGGGAGCGACTAAATCTAGTACAGTTTAACCCCCAGAAGACACAAGTTTACGCGTTAACCGCTAAAAAGAACCCCCTTTGTCGTATCTCCTCCGTTTAAAGGCACTCCCCTTGTTGCCTCAGCCAGTATCGGAATCCTCGGCGTCGGCATATCAAGTGACGTGCAGTTTCGTGGTCACTTGGAAAGGAAGGCCAAATTGACCTTTAAAAAACTTGGCGTGCTCAGCAGAGCGGGACAGTATTTCATGCCGGCACACCGCCTGCAACTTTACAAGGCGCAGGTTCGGCCGCACATGGAATACTGTTCCCATCTCTGAGCTCCCCAGTACCAGCTCCTTCCACTTGACCGCATCCAGCGCAGAGCGGCTCGAATCGTCGATGACCAAGTGCTTTCCAATCGGCTCGATTCACTGGCGCTGCGAAAAGATGTTGCATCTCTTTGCATTTTTTTCGCATATACCATGGAGAGTGCTCTGAGGAATTGTTCGTATAAATCCCAGCCGCCAAATTTCGTGAACGCACTACGCGGCAAACGCCCCGATACCATCCACACCATCTGGATGCTTGGCGGTCCAGCACTATACGTTTCAAAAGGAGTTTACTTCCGCGTACAACCACTTTGTGGAATAGTTTACCTACGGCGATTTTTCCGGACCGATACGACCTGAGGTCCTTCAAGAAAAGAGCTTACACCTTTCTAAAGGGCCGACAACGCATCTGCAATTCCCCTGGTGTTGCGGTTGATCATGGGCGGCGGTAGTCACTTAACATCAGGTGAGCCGCATGCACGTTTGCCACCTCTTCTATAAAAAAAAACTTACATATGTATCTCACTAAAATTCTCCGTTACTTAAAAATAATTCTCAATCGCTTTTTTAAAACGAGTTGTATTGAAGTTGTTTAAGTCTAACCGCATTCGGACCGCATTCAGTTCAATGGTCTATACACTGACGTATCAGTTGACGATTGCAACTTTATTACGTTTTTTTATGTATTTGATTCAAGAGTTGTTGGTCGACAGGAGTAGGTTTTGCAATATATTGTTCCGACCGCATAAACATCTTAACAGTAAAAACAATCATCCACCCACGATTACAATAAGCGTTATCTATACAAATGAATAAAATTGAAGCGTTTGTTTGTAATATCAAAATAACCGCTTTTTATTAAATTCATATGAAAGCATATATGGTACTCATAACAAAAAAAAGAATTTTTAAAAATTTTGTGTGTCTGTCTGTTTCTCCAGCTAATCACCGAAATGGCTGAACCGATTTTGACGAGACAATCACTAGCAGATAGCTGATGTTACGAGTAGTAACCACAGAATACCATAATACGTACACGGTACACGGGGGAGTGGGCGGAGCCCGCGTAGCCACTAACATGTCAATGTTAGTGGCTACGCGGGATGTGTTTTAACGTTACAATCGTTTCTCTCTCTATCTATTTACAAATAAATATGTATTAAAACTTAAACGAGTGTTAATGATAATCTTGAACATTAATCATAAGTCTAAAATGTGTAAATTTACTCAGTCTATCAACACAGCGAATCGGGTTTGTAGTAGTGATAATACGACGTGTATGACGTAATAATATGTGTGCTCCCGGCGACGCTGTACAAAATAAGGTTGACAGCCATTCTATTGTGTATTACAGTATTCTATGGTAGTAACTTAGGCAACTTTTACCTTAGAAAAAAAAATTAGGGTTCCACGGAAAAAAATATCCATGAAATCCAACAAACGAAGTCGCGGGTAACATCTAGTTGTAAATAAGAATGCTTAAACTATTCGCAAATTATAAAATAATGTGATAAAACCTTACTTTCAAACCAACACCGCCGATAAGCGAAGCCAGGTGTAATAATATTATCCGGGACATCTGCGAATTGCATGGCTATTGTAGCAGCAGTGAGTATCAGCGGTACACCCCATGCGTACATGCCATAGAGAACAAATCGTTTTTTTTCGCGTCGCTTATTGCTGCTCCCGCGGTAGCCACTGAAGATTGTAGAAGAAAACATTTTAGTTGATTTTATGACCATTAAATTAGTCACTAAGAAAAAATCAAAACAGACTTCAGAGAAATAAAAGCTTTTAAAAGAAGTATAATCATTGAAATTTGCAAATTAAAGTGTTTGATGATTTTGCCATAGATCCAATCATCAGATTCTGACGATGATCCATGGCAAAATGGGATGACCTCTGTGGTACCAGAGTAAGAACCACTGAAACTTGAAATCATTGTAAATACTTAAAAATATTTCAACATAGTGAGAACTTCCTCAAAAATAGGCAATGTAATATTTATTTTTATTGATTATGTTGTACAATTGACTTGTTTTAATAAATAATAAACCGACTTCAATTATCATAGCATCTGGTTGAAAATATGGTACCACTGTACCTAAAGGTAAACTCTATCAGCAAATAAAAAAAAATCTGCTCAATCGGTTAACTAACCTCGGAGATAATGTTAAATAGGTACATAAAAAAGAATACAGCTGCATTATGATTTTGTTGCGAAATTTACATTTTTTTATTTAGTAGTCGTGATGCTCTAACTTATTCGCAATTCGTAAGAATAACCTCATATTGTTCAGGGACTTATAGGTTTTATGTTTATGTGAGACCTTTTAAAAATGTGCTAACTGCTAACTGTAATTTTGAGCTGGTGATTGTGTAGGCGATGGGCCAGCCGCCTATAACTTGTTTCACAATTTCCCATATAAGCTCATATTTTTGGCTAAACATGAAAACATGATCCGAATAGTTCGCTGCTCTTTGAACTCTCCTTATTCCTTCCTATCCTTAGAGGATTACAAGCGTGACGCTATACTGCGCTATACTACATATAAATATATGAAATATATAAATAATGATATACCTACCACTCTTGTAATTTTTGAAAATACGAGTAAATAAGGCTTAGTACTTTTATTTGAAATTATTCCAAATTGAATGTGATTTCTGGGCAACAACGTTTTTGCCTGCCACTTGCGTGTGCGTGTGCGTGTGCGTTTGCGTTTGCGTGTGCGTGTGCGTGTGCGTGTGCGTGTATGTGTGCGTGAGTGAGTGTGTGTGCGTGAGTGAGTGAGTGTGTGTGTGTGTGTGCTTGCGTGCGTACGTGCGTGCGTGCGTGCATGCGTGCGTGCCTGCTTGCGTGCGTGTGCGTGTGCGTGTGCGTGTGCGTGCGTGCGTGCGTACGTAGGGGCGTGCGTTCGTGCGTGCGAGCGTGCGTGCGTGCGTGCGTGCGTGCATGCGTAGGTGCGGACGTGCGTGTGTGCGTGCGTGCGTGCGTACGTGCGTGCGTGCATGCGTGCGTGCGTGAGTGCGTTCGTGCGTGCGTGCATGCGTGCGTGCGTGCGTGCGTGTGTGTGTGTGTGTCGTGTGTTAATTTATTTAATTGTAATTATTTAAACTAGTCATTTGCTAAAGTTTCAAAAAAAGTTATAAAAATTCTGACTCCTTTCAAAAACGCAAAGCACCTGCAATTCCCCTGGTGTTGCAGTTGTTCATGGGCGGTGATAGTCATTTACCATCAAGTGAGCCGCGTGATCGTAATCAAAAATCAATAACATTTATTTCATTCATCGATAAAAACTTACCTATTGTATACATATCCTTTATTTTTCTAATTCTAAAGCTGCGATTTATAACATCTAATAACTGTTTATTTGATAGTGATTTTATTTTTATCGATCATTTTATTGTCTTACCATTTTGATTGTTGTGATGAGGCTAATCCTCCAGTCCTTTTTTCAGTGGTTTGCATTAAACAAGTATATGAAAATCCTAAATTATTTTATTTCAAACAATTTAAAAACACACATATTATAACATACAATCAAATGCTTAATAGTTGTGTGCAATACATTGTTATTTACGACAAATTATTCATGCTATGTTCAGTTCAGGTAGGTAACGTAATTTTGTGTAATATTTAATTATAAACAAAATATTGCCTTTTTTGTTGATCATCTATGAATAAATAAATGTTATTTAAAATTTTATCAATTTTAATTTTATCTGAATATTAAACACCGCTTATGTTAAACGACATTCATTCACCTAGTAGGTATGAAAATGCAAATAGTTTAGTGAGTAGCAACGATTATTTGAGCCACTTTATAAAATTGCGTACAAAATAACATGCATTAAATATATTATTATAATTTCAATCATATTATCAATAATTAAATTATGAAACAAAATAAAGCGAGATTCATTGCTTTTTTAACGTAAAAAGTGAAAATTTTGGTAATAGAATCTTTATAATATTGTGATATTATGTAATTAAGATAATATTATTAATAAAATATTCATAACTGTATTTGTAATTCCGATATTGATATGAATTTGCTAATCCTAATCACCTATTATCGACGTGCACTTAATGCATGAATATTTGTAATAATATTGGTATAGTCGTGAGAGCGCAGAGGTTAAACACTCGCTGTTAATTTCCCGTGTTCCAATTTACACCGTAAGTACTACTCAGTGCTCTCACTGGTGAAAAATTCATTCCGTTATGGACTGCCAGTATACTGCCGCAGTACCCTAGGGAAATATATGACGTCATAAACCGTCGCCATTTTTGTACTCTGAGCAATGGGCTTGCGAGGTAAGGTACTCACAGTACTTTGATCACGTGATCAAAAAACATAACAGCACCTAGAGATTTAACAGCTTCCACGAATGATTGTTATTATTATGAATTCATATTGTTATTCAAATTAACCCAGACATTAAGTTTTAAAAACCACAACATTCAAATTATATTTATTCTTGTTGAACAGAAAACGTGTAACATGATAAATATTTTCATTTGAAAACAGTGTCGAAAATGGGGATGACAGTATATTGGACGGCGTACCGTTTTAAACAGTAACCAAACTAAAATGGAATGGCTACACTGTATACTGAATTGACGTCATCACTTACAGTGATGATAGTGTATATCGGAACCATAGAATACTATAATACATACATAAAAGAACGGAGGAGTGGGCGGAGCCCGCGTAGCCACTAAAATGTCACTAACAGGTCAATTCACACGTATAAATGTCAACACGAGATGTGTTTAGACGTTACAAACGTTTCCAATTTCGCACGCAAATTATTTAAAAAATTCCAAATTGCACCCTAATTGCAAATAAATATGTATTAAAATTTAAACGATTTTTTTCAATGATGATCTTGAACATTAATCAAAAATCTAACGGTCAACACAGAGAATCGGGTTTGGCGACGCCAAACCTCGTACAAAATGAAGTTGACAGCCATTCTATTATGTATTATAGTATTCTATAATCGGAGCACACCCTTAACCGCCGGCACCAAGGAAATTGCTAATACACGGCGACCCCTCCTTGGTAGGGGATAGCTCTCTTCTCCCTCTCAGGTAAGGCGCGCTAAAAATAAGGTGGCGTCCAATTCCAGCCGTATAACTGACTGAGTACGTGGTACGTACGAAATATGTGGAGAGCCATGCTGCAGCCATATTATGGTTGTAGCACGAATGGGTCGGCTTGGCCGTGGAAGGACCATACTCTTACAGAATATTAGCGTAAAATAGCAGCTTAATACTGTTGTGTTTCGTATGGTGAGTGTAGAGATCCGGAGACCTATTTTTAAGAAACGAGGCATTCCGTCTTAGTCCTCAGGGGTGACAACACATTTGCGTTTTCATTCTTAAACGAGGATAAATGTAGATGTATGTAATGCCACAGCATCCTTACTCTGTGTGGACTGTGTGCTTGTTTATAACTTTTATTCTATAAAGAAAAAGGGAATTACTTGCATAGCTCTGAGAAAGTAAAAAACTAAGCAAATCTCTAAATTCACTGAAAGTGATTGCAGTTATACTGGTCTTAAAAGACGTGAATAGTTGCTCGCACACAATAAAAAGTCTATTATAGATAAAATTAAAATATGTAAGTCTTTTATAATAAGAATATGTAGTAATCATTTGTGATAGTGATTCTTTTAAAAATTTTCTCACCAGTCGAAAAATTAATATTTCGAAATTTACGTGTTCATGGTGAATTTGTAAGTTTTGAATATGACAATAAATGTAAAAGAAACATCAAAATAATCAATTATTTTCTGCATAAAAGTAAGTATTAAAGTGTTTTAATTTTTAGTGTTATATTATTTTAATCGTCATTATTTTAATAAATATAAACACGGTGAGCTGAGCCACCCTACAACCCGCTTACGCCCGCTTTCAAATGGATGCCACTTGAAGATATTTCTAGTCCATAGTGTGTCGGTTCTTCGAGCAATAAGGCTAGTTAGTCTCTGCCACTCCAGGTTATGATCAGTTGGGCTACCTCCCCGGTTCTACTGCGGATATCATTGCTATGGATTCTATTATGCAGAGTAACTCCGAGAATCAGCTTTCTTTAGCTTGGTTAGCAAACTAAGCATCATGTAAAATCCTTTTTTGCAGACTGAGGGATTAACACATTTTTTAATGGATTATAATTTCATATTATGTAAGCATGAACAGCTAAGTGAGCTTATTGGACAATATCTAACAACACTACGTAAACATGACCAGCATGCTAGTTATAGACATCGACCTGTAAGCTAGTCAAGTTAAGACCTACAGTGGTGCGATGCTGCCAGGAGGTATCGGCGTTACTGTTCTGTAATTTGTTCATTATTAAAACATAGTACTATGGAGTGGAGAAGTAAGGAGTAACTCCCATAGTAGAATAGTTGAAAAAGTGGTCATCTGTAAGCAGTAAATAACAGCTCAAAAAACTCTCCATAACAGCGCTGGAGTAGCTACTGAGATGAAATGAACTTAGCAGTTTCGACGGTTTGAAGTTTGCTGCTAACCTGATCAGTAGCTCTAAAATCTAAAATAATTTTATTTAGTAAATACCTCGAAAAAGTCATTTATCCCACTAATTTTTTTCGGTGCGTTCTTTAAAATTTACCCCGTAGCCATAGTGGCGCCACCCTTATTTAAAGGTTTTTATGGACACTTTTTTAATACATAGTCTGTACTCCTTACTTCTACACTCCATACATAGTACATTATAAATATCGGAAAGATATTTCATAAACTTGTTTTACTAAGATTACTTCAATATATTTTTATAAATAATATAAATATTCTAAAATACCAGCTCTAATAAGTAATACGAGTCCAAAACACCATAAATGTATTCAATAAATATAAACGCCTAGGCATTATCAGCAACGCACGCTACGCCATTGCGCCTAGGCTAGGTCTACTTAAATTATTTATAGCTTTTTAAAAATCTTTAAATGTTCACGATCACAAAATAAATGATAAATGAAGCTGCGTTTAACGTATTTATATGCAAAACAATATGTTTATAAAAACGAAAAAGTAACATATAATGATTTTTAGTGAGCTTTTAACAATCGCCGTTCTCACATAATATTTTGAATGCCAAAAATATTATCACATACATAATAATGCAATTGAAAACTAAAACATATTATATAGGTATATTTGATATTATTAAAAAAAATGATGTTTAATATTAAACAGTAAATAAATATTAGACTTCGTAAAATTTAATGTAATTTTATCGTTTAATTTGCAAATACTGTATTGCTGAAAACTTAAATATTATTTTTATGTTATAAATAAATCTGTCAATAATTACCTGAACGTCCTCCATATGTCAAAACACATTACATTGAGCCAGAAGAAACTTGTTTGAAATGCGTAGTAAACAATGAACGCTGAAAAAAAACATACCAATTGAAAGTAATATTTAAAGTTAAAGTGACAGCCTATATATACATTCAACTGTAACTGGCCTTCGCTCATTTGTAAGAGGGTTTTAGGGCAAGGAAATGTCCGCCGCGCTACCTCAATACGTGTTGCCGAACTTCACGTTTTCGAAAAAAAATTTTTCTTATTTCTCAGACATGCAGTTTTATATTAAACTATAAAAATATTCATAAATTCTTCTTCAGGGCTCTATATTATCAGATCGAACATTTAGGTCAAGGGTAGGGAAAATTCTAGGCCAGCAGTATAACAGGGTAAGGTTTGAAATTAAGTCGCTTGAATTAGGGGGTGGGAGTGGTGGCGAGGGAGGCGGGGTAATTGTAGAGTCACCCCATTTCCCCCCCTCTGCCGGATGTGCTTAGTTTTTTTATAAATTTTTAAGAATTTCATTTTGAGATTATGTTTTCGTAATGTTTTTGACTATGAACATATATTTGAGAGAGTTGTGGGAGGGAAGCCCCACGCCACTAACGCGCCACGTAGCGCAGTCGAAGGAAGTCTGATCGACGGGGGACTCCGTCGATTCGCGAATTCGCGGGCTCCTACTTCTGAGTGGTTTATAAAAAAATAACCACGAAGGGAATGGCGGGGTCTACTCGCTCGCTTACTCGACCCGATCATCCCCTTCTAACCTAACCTGTCGGAGTCGGGGTCTTAAGTCCCGAGGTCGCTTCGATCGCTCTTACACTCAATAAAACACATAAATATTAACTTATATAATTACTTTAAATTATAAACATAATTTATATCTACAACCATTTGTAAAAAAAGAATCCAGAGGGGTAGCGAAGTCGTCGAAAAACAGGTTGAGGCAGACAAAACGTTACAGGTGTAGGCGCACATTCATGTAAACTTGGAAACAACGGAATGACGTAAAGTATATTTGTTACTGTCATTAGCCGGCCTAGCAATTCATTTTACGCATTTTGAGATGACTTTGACTGATGCAACGTCAAAAACGTTAGAATTTAGTTAAATGTACGTTACATTTCACGTAACCAATATTTTTAAAAAATAATTAAAAATGCTTCGACGCTGCTCCGGCAGCAAAATTCGATTAGGGGTGTTTCAGATAGACCCCCTTGAGCCTCCCACAGTAACAGAACCCTCAAATTCAGGCTACTTAATTTCAAACCCAACCCGTAGAACATGTTTTTTAGATCAGAATGAAGGAATCCACGATTTTTTGCCACCAGGGCGCCGTCACTTTGCATAAGGTGAAATATGTATTTAAAACTGTAAAGATAAATGCTTCTTTCTGAAGTATTATTTATTTTTTATATTAATAGGATTAAAAATAGAGTACCCAAAATAATTACATTAAAAATAAACCAAACTACGGATATTCCTAAAAGTAGAAGAATTAAATATGTTAAAAATGTGTAAAAATTAAAGATTACACTGAGATATTCATTGTTTTGTGTTTCAAAATTTACAAGATTTTTTTTTAATTTAAAACGCAACTTTGATGATGAGCCTACACAACTGTGAAAACTTTGATAAGTTCACCTTATTTACAACTAGCGACATCTTATGAGCGTAAGAATATTGGTCCCCATTAGATTAGTATAAAAGAACAAGATTACGGAGTGTAAGGAGAGGTAAGGAGTACAGACTCTGTATAAAAATGTATCCATAAGAAAGTGCTAAATAAGGGTGGCGCCACTGTAGCTACAGTGTAAATTTTAAAGAACTTTTTATAATTTTTTATTGCACATACTTCCACTATAATTATTTTTATAATAATTATTTTATTGTTTCAAAATTTTTTATTTTCAAAATCTCTCTCAACGTGTTTTACGGCGACTTTTTGTAGGTTATATTTATTATTTAGTAAATTATTTTAGACAACGTGAGTAGTTAAGGTTTTAAATACTGCAGTTTCATCACTAATTTTGTTGCCACAAATATTAAATTCCTCAACTCAATAAATTTCACTCCGTTGACAACTGGTAAGTTCATTTCATACCCTCTAGCTACTACAGCGCCGTTGTGGAGCGTTTTTGAACTGTTAATCAATGTAAATAGCATCAAACTGATTACAGATGGACACATTTTCAACTATTCTCCTATGGGAGCTGGTATTCCTTACATTTACACTCCATAAACAAGATAAATCTAACATAACAATAAAAGTTTGGTCTTGGCAAATATAATAATGACATTTTCATTGTAAACCTAAGTGCCGGTTCTTGTTTTAAAATCGTAGATAGCTTTAGTCATAGAGTAATTAGACTGTGGTAAAAGTAATTAGAAGTGTGGTAATTTATAAAGTATATCTTTTATAATATCTAATATCTATGTCTGTTATTAACATAATAAAATATCTGTATTATTATACTCACAAACACATACACAATTTTATTATTTTGGACGGGTGCGTGTGCACCCGCGCATCCGAGTGCGCAGGTGTATGTTTGTGTGTGTGTGTGTGTGTGTGTGTGTGTGTGTGTGTGTGTGTGTGTGTGTGTGTGTGTGTGTGTGTGTGGCGCGTGCGTGTGTGTGTGTGCGTGTGCGAGTGTGTGTGCGTATGTGTGTGTGTAATGCGTATGCGTGTGCGAGTGTGCGGGTGTGCGGGTGCGAGGGTGCGTGAGTGCGCCGCGGGTGCGTGGGTTCACAGGTGTGTGCGTGTGTGCGTGTGCTTATGCGTTTGCGTATGCGTGTGCGAGTCCGCAGATGCGTGGATGTGCTGGTGCAAGCGCGCGTGTGTGTATGTTTGCGTCAGTAATAAAACAAGTAAACATGTTTTCTATATCTTCATTATCAAGGTTTTAAGCCATAATAATATATACTTCTTAATAACTTCTTATTTAGTCTGTTATATAGGTGTGGAACAATAGCATCAAACTGCTTCTGGATGAATCTTGTTTTTACTCTGGAAATAGGACAACGGTAGCCTTGTAGATGATTTAAGCAATTAAGGAACAATTTTTTTCTGATAACAGCTTAAACTTTCTTTAATAAACAGTTTTCTGATACTAAGAACGTTGGCTTTTTCATACACAGCTGTTGTAGGGTGCCTGAAGTGTAAGGAGAATAACACTTTCAGCACGGCACGTTGTGCACGTTCTACAGAGATTAAGTAGGATTTCGCTGCAGTGCCCTAAGCACAGATACACTACCTAATAATGCATTCACCAAGGGCTTTATAGGTTTGTTTGTTCTATTAGGACCTAAAATCAAGATTCTAATGTTATGTAGCATGAAATCATATCTAAAAATGATATTGTACATATGAGTGATATAAAAGACACATTGTCGGAAAGATAAATGATTTTTGAAGGTATTATTAAAAAAAATATTTATTTGCTATTTTTACATAAAACGGTGATTTTTTGGCTCATGGCGTGGATTTAACAAGTTCGAATAGTAAACACGATAACTTTTGAAAATATAAATTTTTTAACACAATCTATATTTTAATCCCTTCATCTGTCATCTGGGAAGCCATAGAATGTAAATATTAATTTTATTTTATTTAGTTATAATAAATTTTTTTCAGCTGGGAGATCCCGAAATTATCGGTCATCATATTGTAACGCTTCCCCCTCTCATATTAATAAATATATATTAAATACTAAATATATTATATTCCCCTTTATATTAAAAATTATATATATGTGACTAGGATAAATAAAATATGTTTTGATCTTTCTAAATGATCTTTCTAAAGGTTTAATAATAGGCCGTTTGTAATATTTTGGCGTGATCGACTTGGTTAGGACCCTTATTTACGTTGTGTTTGTTTAGTAACTTAGATCTTTTAGGTGTTTTTTGGAAGAATGAATATTCGCTAAAGCAATTGAAAGCTGTTGGTAGTGCCTTATAAGCTAAGTGAACGCCGTTCACGAAGACAGGGCTCGAGAAAGGTTAAGACATAAAACCTCTCTATTCCACTTGTATCAGGTTTACATTATTAATTTAATATTATTTATCCCTTCCCGCTCGGAAAAGGCTCAAAATATATTTATACAAAATACCCGATACAAGGGCTTCACTCTCCTACATTTATTAAAAAATGTAGGGGTGGCACACGGCTCCACACACGCCGTGCACGGTGAGCGCCAACCATTTTGATGCACTCCCTCCGCAGGGAACGCTAATTCGGGAACTGGACCGTAGTCCACAGCAAAATAACTGGCGAACCAGTAAAAGAGGCTTGGCCCCTTGCTAGTGCGTAAGCACAAACATCGACCGAAGTCACGCATGTCAATGCGTGTAAACGCCAAACAGAATACGAACGAATCCAGCCACAGTGAATGTACGTCACACGGTTTAGGCAAATAGGCACACTGGCCGTAAACCCTCCGTGAGCGCCACCACCTGCCAGACCGCCACTCCTGCAGACGTGATGTAAGTGTATGGCATCACCACCAATTGCATGATCAGCACGGCTACTAGCCGCAGAGCGTGTCATGAGTCTACCGCTCACCTCAAGGGAATGGGGTCCCACGTTGTGCGGCTTTCGGCCGCAGCCTTGAGAGTCTCCTCAGATCCTCCCGCCAGCTACCACCCGCATGAGGTCGACACATATGCTCCACCAACCAATACAACGGCAGATATAGCCAAAAGGCGGTTATAAGATAAGAGTAATAATTCGCCATCAGAAAGGGTTTGTGTCACTGACGTTGAGTAAATGCATTTTAGATCATGTTTGTCTCACCACCAACAAGTTGCCTTCAATCATTCAAAGGTGGGAAAGTTACAGAGATATAATATTATGTTGTTATATAAAACATTGTGGAGGGCAGACAGTCTGCAGCCCCGTAATGAAGGGACCCGACTTGGGCAAAGCTACTCAGGCGTGAGTCAAACCAAGACGCAGAGAGCGCCATTGAAAATAACGTCCCACCAAACAACCATCGCAAAGACGCAACGCTGCAGAACGCAACAAGCATCAATACGACTATCGTCGGGCTTACACCATCCCAAGGTCCCCCATACATCC